CCCTTCCCTGTCCCCAGCAAGCTGGCCTCTGAGGTCCCCAGCACACCACCCAGGCCGTCTGCACTGCTGTGATGTGCTCTGCCTGAACAGCTCACAGTGGCATTCTGTGGCGACAGGGAAGTGTATTTCCCTGGAGCTGAGAGCCCAGCTAAGGGCATATCACATGAGGCTAAGAGCCTTGGGGGCTGCACTCGTGGGTTTCTAAGCAGAAGTGTGCCCCAGCAGAAGCATGATAGAGCGCTGCCTTGCGACTCCATGCCAAATGTGTGCCACTTCCTCCACCTACCGGCTGCACAGGTATGTCAACAGCATGCAGAGAGGTTTTCCAGACAGGCAGGTGGCCATGGTGGCCAGTGTGGGCCATGACTGGGCTGGACTAGTGCTGCTGTGGCCTGGCCTCCTCGCTCTGCACACCAGTCTGTATGGCTGTGACTGCCCATCCTGCAGTCCGCTATGACGCTAGAGGACTGGCTGTAGCCATAGCTAGCCGATGTCTATCTCTGTCAGCACTGAGCTAGATGCCCTCCATAGCCAACCTGAAGGTGGCACCAGCTCAGATGTCCGCTTCCCCCACCCAGGGAGGGACATCCTTGGAGACGGTGAGCAAGTGACCCTCAGATTGGCACTCCTAGAAGACGCACAACTCCAGTGCTCCCACCTGTCCCTATGGACAAGGCACTGTGGCCCACAGCTGCCTCACAGGGTCCTGGAGGCTCCAATTTCTCAGACTTCACAGTGGGGTGCACCCTGCTCTTGTGTGTGTATAGCTTCTCAAACAACATTGGTTCAGTGTTTGCGTCACTGGAAACATAGGCAGCAGATACAGAGGTGAAGGTTACAGAACTGGCCACATGTCACCCATGAGAGCCATCTGCATGGGGTTCAAGCTAAGATCTCCTGGGCCTCTGCTGATGGTCACCTGACAGCACCCCTGGCAGGACCTCATCCCCAACAGGTGTAGTGCTGGGGAACAGCACATTCCCCAGCCTTGTGGGATAGGCAGGGCCCTCCTGAGCCGAGAACCCGGGGTCACCAAGGTTTCAGTGGAAGAGCAAAGGAGCCAAGAGCCTTATCCTCCAAGGGACCCCGCATGCAGACACTGTGATGTGTGGGACTCGCTCAGCCAGCATAGGCCCCTGGTGGAATTTAGCTGTATTGGGCTTTGTCCTTCTTATTCCCCCACATCCTGCAGAAGGTGCCATCTACTCCCATGAGGACCCAGTGTGTTAAGCAAGAGCAGCTGAATGACCCTAGTGCTTGGCTGCATGGCCCCTGAAAGCCACCCCTGGCAGCGTTCGGGTTATTTATTTTTTCTGGGGACTCACCCTCCACCACACTGGAGCAGGGAACAATAGCCTTCCTTGTGCACACGGTACAGCTGCTAAAACTCAACAGGATCCCAGCAGAGAAACAAGCAGGAGGGGCTCCAGCTTTCCCCTTCCGCAGGGTCCACGCAACCCTATCTTCCCTTGGGAGGCCACAGCGAGCCACTGTGTGACCTTGGGGTGTAGAAGAGGGAAGGGAGTTGCACCATGAGAGACCCCGGGCCTGGCTTGGCAGCTCTGCTCAGTCTGAACAGGATGGGAATGTTCCATCCACTCAGGACACCACAGGAGGTCTGAGCAAGCCCTGCTGCACACAGCCACCATCCTGTGAGATAGCTTGTCTCCTGCTACCCCTACCCTGTCATCCTGCTTCCTGGCACCTAGGTATGGCTCTGGCTCCTGCATTGTGTATCAATCTTTCTAACCAATGTCACTCTGGATACCAGAATTCTACTCACATTTGCATAGTGAGGTGGCACTCAGGCAGTAAACTCTGGGGAATGTGTCCACACCCTAAAGCTAGGAGGCTCCTTGGTGGCTACCACCAGATCAGCTCCACTTGCCCCAGTTGGTGAGGGGTCTCAATGAGGCATGGATAGTAAGCTTTCAAAGATACAAATAGCCTGCTTTGGCACATGTGCCTTAGGTTCACCACCACTGGCACAGGGTGGCAGGGTGAAGCCACATCTTACTTCCAGCCCACAGCTACCTGGCTGTTCATGCTGCATGGGGAGAGACGTGCTCTGCTGGCTCCTGGTTCCTGAGTTTTCTCACCCACAGAGTACCGAATATTAGAACACGTGGGCTTTAAGGTTTGTGTTAGCCCGCTTGCAGTTGCTGTGACAGACTACCTGAGAATAACAAGAGAGGAAAGGTTTATTTTGGCTTACAGTTTCGTAAATCTCATTCCATGGTTGGCTGGCTCCATTTGTTTTTAGATGTGTGGTGAGGCAGAAACAACATAGCAGAAGGGCATTGCAAAGGAAAGCTGGTCACCTCATGGCAGCCAGCAAGCACAGAGAGGGAGAAGAAAGAGAAAAGCTCAGGTGGAAAGGCCAGGAACAAGATATCGCCCCCCCCAGGATCCGCTCTCCCTTCGACTGGGATCGTACCTAAGTTTCCAGCACCTCCCATTATCTTACTGAGTTATGTACATCAGTAGTCCTATGACTTCCCCAGAGTTCGTCACCTGGCACCCCAGCCTTGAGCACGTGACCTTGGGGACAGTTTAGGTCCAAACTATATCAAGGTACTTCCTCAGAACTTGTCACCCCCTACCTGGTGCTCACTGTCCCACTTGCCAGGAGCTTCCCTAATCTCTGTAGCCCTCCCATCATAAAATTGCCCAGGTTAAAGACACACCCTCTGTGAAATGTGCCCAAATGTAATGCAGATTGTCTCAAGATAAAACTGGAAAAATTGTTATTCAGGGGGAGCAAAGTCCAGCCTTTCCTGGTTGATGCCAAAAGAGGGTTTGAGGAAGTCTGGGAGCCCAGGCCATAGGTCTAACGCGCAGGGCAAGGAAAGCCCTCAACAGCCATTATTCTAAAGTCCCAGTGCCAGCTCACTGGCATCTTCCACATCTTCCTCTGGAAACGCAGTGGGAAACTGGGGTGAGAGGCTGGTGCTGCTCCACCTGTAGGTGGCTGCTGTTCTGGTCTTCTTCACCTGGACAGTCTGCTCGTCCCAGAACTTTCTGTAAGCAGGACCACAGTGAGGGCACCTCATGTGAATCGAGGCTCGCCTGGCACACTTTTGGGATCTGTCCTGATGGAGTCATGGTCACTGCTGGGTGGCAGGTGGGGGAGTGGAACACAGTGACTCACAGCAGGCTCCTCTGCCCACCCCAGAGCCATCCCTGTTTCTGGGTCTTGATGATTGGGCGGGTGCTCTGAAAGGGTTAGTGTGTCAGGGCATTGAGGCCCTCACCCTTTCTCCTGGGGTTGCATTTGGTGAACATGTACAAATGTATCATCCTGAGCAAGCACCAAAGGGCAGGGAGATGGGGGTTGCTCGCTTTCCTGCCACCCCAGTACAGCTACAGGCTTCCACTTTCTAAAAATGGATCTCATCGTGTAAAGCAGTTCAGATCTACAGAATTGTAAAAGTAGTAAAGTTCCCACATACCCAACACCCACATTGCTATTGTCAGCACCTGCGTTAGTGTGGTACATTCACTGCACTTTGTTAACTGACATCCACACTTTGTTCCCATTTCCTCAGTTTCCCCTAGTGTCCCTTCCCTAACTCCTGGTTCCATCCAGGATCCTGGTGACATTGAGTGGTCACGTCTCCTCCAGCTCCTCTGGGCTAAAGGTGCCTCACCTCCCTTATCTGTGCTGCCTGGACGGCTTAAAGCGCTGGTCAGGGTTTGTGAGACTCTTTTCCACCCGACCAGGATTGGTCTGTGCCCTCGTGACTAGACAGGTTGTATGTGTGTCTTCGAAGACTCAGGCGAGCACCTTCCTGCCACATCCTACTGTAGATGCATGCGGTGAGCCTTCCCCTGGTCACCTGTCAGGCCAAGCTGTGGCTGTGGTGTCCCCACCTTAGATGGCTTTCCCTTTCCCTCCTGTGCTCCATGGGAGGAGGAGGGTAGGATCTGTATGCTGTAAGGAATTCTGGACATGGGGATTTGTCTCTGGTCCCTGTTTATTTATCCCATCATTTATTGTCATTGTGGGTTCACAGGTTCTGTTTTATACTTGGTGTTATAACAGTATTAATTAGCTTCTGTTTATTAGCTTTTAATTTTAAAATAATTTATAATGTCCAGAAAAATCGCTTCTTGACCTTTTGGCTAAGATCAAGTATGATGTACAGAAAAGTTGCAAGGACAGCTGGAGCACTCCCCTCCATCCCTGGGACCCCGTGGCTCCCCCGCCATACTTCCACACACCTAGACTGATGCGCTGCGAGCTATTGATAGTCAGCGTGTGGGAAGCACGTGACCCTGTCTGGGGCCCTCAGAGCCCAGCTGAGAGCCTGGAGGGGATGGGAATCCCCAACAACCTGGATCGGTGGACTGGCCAGGGTAACGCCAGCAGCCACCTCCAGGGAAGGGTTCGCCTCATCCCAGTGTATGCGTGAGAACGTGGGGCTCACCTCGACAGAATCACTAGGGAGGACTCTTCTCATCAAGTCTGCCATGATGGTCTAGCGGAAAGCACAGCTCACATCCCCTACACACGGGGTTAGGCCTCCTGTTTCCTCAGGAAATTGACAGTATCTGCCATTCCCCAGCTCCAAGTCTTGTCCAGAGTGAATGTTGCCTTGCAATAGCGGTTGATTATCCTCTGCAGAACTATTCCCAGTGGACATTGTGAGAAGGATGCCCAGGGCTCTGTCTTTACATGCAGACCTCAGGACGGAAGGCCATGAATCCAAGTGTGGGCTTGGACTTGATGCTTTGAGGTGTCCTGCAGGGATGGTACGTAGCATCTGAGTCAGGCAAGGCAGGGCCTTTCCTAAAGTTACAGGCCTCTCTGGCCCAGGTCCTGGTTCCTACAAGCAGAGCTCCAGACCCTGGATTTCGTTTCCCATGGAGACATTCACTGACCTCTTGCAATTCTTTTCAGTCCTGTTTTAAGGACTGTTGCAGCTTAACTGAGTGTGTAAAGTGATTTTTCTATGCATTTTCTCCCAGTAACCTTTGTACATCTGCTGTTGTTCTAGGATGGGAGTCGCAGCTTCTGGAAACAGGGTTCCTGGGGATCTTCCTCTGCCCTCTTTGGACACTGTCCCGGCTACCCAAATATACCCCCACATCCCAGGTTGTCCTGTGGGGCTTCCGGTGGCTAATTTTCAGGATCATGCTTGGAGCAGTAAGTAGAATTTTTTTTATTTGACCTGTTTGGGAGGTTAAATGCCCTAGAACGTTCCGGGTGGCTCTATGGAGCTGTGCTGGTTGCTGTGGGCAGACCACGTCCTGCTGACCTGCACTGCCCTCTCATGGCCTGGCCGGTGCCGAGCACTGAGACTCTAGCTTTCCCAGCCATGGTCATCACTGGGAAGCGGCTGCTGCTTCCGTCCATTTCTCAAGAAACCCATTTCTCTTTCTCCACCCTGCCCTCCTGGCACATCTGAGACAGTGCCGAGGTCATTCCTAAACGATAAAAGTAACTCTGTTATGCCAAATGGGTGAATATGTTGCTGTATAAAGAAGGAAACATGTGTTCTGCAAAACTCGTACCAGGCAAGCTGTAGCTGCTGCTGTCCATGACCCCTGACAAGGGTTCTCTCTTGGGCACAGCTTGTTTGAGCCGGGCAGCTGCTCTTAAAATGTAGGTGTTCAGACATTTTTTTACGGTATGGGAAGAGCCTGTTATTTGGAGGCCCTATGATTTGCTGCACACTTTTCCTGGCCAGCTGACCTATCTATATGTGCTTGCACCCCACTGTGGACTTTCACCAGGCCTGTTTGGTACCTGTTTTTGTTTTTTAGTTTTTTGGGTACCCGGGATTGAACTTGGGTCCTTGGGTTTGCAAGGCAGGCAGCAGCACCACTGAGCTTAAGTCCCAGGCCCTGGTACCTGTTTTTATATACCCTGCTGCTCTCAATTCCACTGATGCCTAGCCATTAAGGTTTTCTTTTCTTTTTGTTTTCTTTATTTTTCTTTTAAGTACTTGAAATTGAACCCTTTTTATTTTTAAAATATTTATCTATCTATTTATTTATTTATTTATTTTTGAGACAAGAGTCACACTCTGTAGCCCAGGCTGTCCTTGAATTTATGGCAGTCTTCCTCCTGCCTCAGCCTCCTAAGTGCTGGGATTACAGGCATCCACCATCACACCCAGTCCTCAGCATCTTTTTTTGGGGGGGTGGGTACCAGGGATCAAACTCGGGTCCTTGTGCTTGCGAGGCAGGCAGCGGAACTACTGAGCTAAATCCCTGGCCCAGCATCTGTTTTTTGTTTTGTTTCTTTCTGAATTTTGAGACAGGGTCTTGCTCAGTTGCTAACTTTCTCAGGCTGGACTTGAACTTGCAATCCCACTGCCTCAGCTTTCCCAGAGTGCTTGGATTATAAGGGTGCCACCATATCTGACTCCACTGAGGTTTTTACAACACGACTTGAACGTTAAAAGCAGTGAGGGACCCCCCCAGAGAGGGACTTCTTGCCTCTTGGGATGGACATGTGCAGGTGGCTGCCCAGGCTGGTATCCCCTTTCATTCTGCTGTGCTGCCTTAGGCCTTGGCTCCAGCATCCCTACCCTAAGAGTGTCATCTCAGCGACGGTTGATGGGGCACATCACGGCTCAACACATCATGTGAAGAAGCTAAGAAGGCGGGTGGGTAGCTGGGGATACCTGACAAGTTGTTTCTGGGGCCATGGACTCTCCAGTAACCTTCCCAGATTGCTGTTTTTATGGATGAACGTTGGAAACCGCCGATTCCCCAGATCCCACTTGTGCTTCACTGAGGCTTAACATCGGGGTGCAATGCCCTCTGGCTGGCTACTTCCCTGTCTCTTCTCGTGTGGGCTTAGAAGGTGCTGCAAGCAGCCAGTGTGACCTAGGCCACAGCCACTCATATAAGTGACCAGAGCAGCCCCCACTGGCCATGCCCTGCCCAGGTTAGGCACGGGAGGGCCCACAGCAGCCCAGTGGGAAGGCAGGTAGGGATGCCGGAGCCTCCGAGAAGCAAGTGGAGCTGGTGTGGCTGCTAGCTGCCTGCCTTAGGGGAATACAAGTAATACAAATAGTTGCAAGGCACTGTTGGATTCCGGCAGTGTCTGTGTTCCGATCCCACAGCAGTAACCTGCTGTTTCCAAAACCACAGGGCGCTGGGGAGAGAGGTGGGTGCTCCTGTTGGGACAGTACTCAGATCCTTCACTGTCCCTTGGGATGGCGCAAGTGTTCTAGCCAGTCTGTCTCCCTTGGACTTCAGCTCAGGCTGCTGCCACAGCGGGTGCCAGTCAGCACAGGATGTTTGAAATGTTCCAAAGACAAGTGGATGGAGTTTCCTTAGGTGACTCAGTGTGACCTAACAGCCCCGGGGTAAAGCTTAGCTCTGGAGAGAATTCTAGCCCTGCAGAAAAGTCAAGTTCTAGGGAGAAGCCTACCTCCATGAGAAGCCCAACTCTAGAGAGAAGACAAACTCTGGGGAGAAACTAAGCTCCAGGGAGAAGCTGCCTGGAGAGAAGCCCAGCTCTAGGAAAAACCTGGATCTGTGGAGAAGCTGAGCTCTGAGAAGCCATGTTCTGTGGAGAAATCCAGCTCTGTAGAAAGCCTGGGCTCTGAGGAAATCTTAGCTCTGCAGCCAAGCCCAGCCCTGAGGAGAAGCCCAGCCCTGTGGAGAAGCCCGGCTGTGAGAAGGAAGTTGAGTCCTGGGCAGAAGAGCTCTGCAGAGAAGCTGAGCTTTGGTGAAGAAGCTTAGCTCTGAGGAAAAGCTGAGATTTAGGGGAGAAGCCAGGCTCCAGGGAGAAGCCCAGCTCTGGGACGAAGCTAAGCCCTGGAAGAAAAGCCTGGGCCTTGAGGAGAAACCGAGTCCTGAGATGCCCAACTCTGGAGGAGAAGCTTAGCCTTGCTCAGAATCCTAATTCTGGAAAAGAAGTCAAGTCCTGAGGAGAAGCAGAGCTCTGGGGAGATTCCCAGCCTCGTGAAGGAGCCCAGATTGAGGGGAGAAACTGAGTCCTGAACTCAGCTCTATGGAGAAGCCAAACTTTAGGGAAGAACAGCTTTGAGGAGAATCTGAACTGTAGGGGAAAAGCTGAGTCCTGGGGAGAAGTTTGGCTTGGGGGAGAAGCTCAACTCTGTGGAGAATGCCACCCCTAGGGACAAGCCACGCCCTGGGGAGAAGCCCAGTTCTAGAAAAACTGTCAGCCTGCTCTGTACACAGTTCTGGTGCCAAGAGTTGAATGAACCCCCAGGATGCTTGGCAGAATGCAGTAAGTCATTAGCACTTTCTGAAGTGCCTTTTATGGCATTTTGATTGACTGTTAGCACCAGCTGGATAAAAATTACCAGGTACACTAAAAGGTATAATTACCCGACATAGTCTTAGGTTAGATATTATTAATCTTTCTTCAGTGGGAAGCAGAAAGAGTGTTGAGTTGATAAGAGATTGGCAGCTGCACATCCCTGTCTGTGAGGTGGGCAGATGTGGCAAGCCTAACCCTCCTGTGACTCTGCCACCTGGTTTAGACTTAGGGCTGTGCAATTGCTAAGAGTTCTGCTCAAGCTGGCACATGGGGTTTGGTGATCTGGCAGTCTCGTGTGCCCTGAAAACTGGTTACTTCCTTGGAGCTGAGTCTCAAAGGGACTCCCATGGCCTGGGTATAGGAAAAGCGCAGCCTATGTGCTTGGCTCACCTGGATGTGGGGTTTGCCCTGTCCCCAGGGGTCCCTGCACATATCATATCCATGTGGCTGACACAGGCTGTCTGCTTCCTGGAAGTCCAACTGCTGTCACATCAGACCTGCACAGTGTCGGTGGGGTTCTCAGGGCCCCACTAGGGCTTTTGAGGAGACCACATTCTGGGCCATGGGATAAGGGGGAGGATAGGTAGAGAAGGGCGAGCATGTTGGGTGGAGGTCACTGAGAGTGAGGCTTTGTGTGCGGGAGAGCTCTGTGAGGGACGTGGCCTCACTTCTGCTAGAGTCTGACAAAGAATTTGGAACCTCAGTCTCAGCTTGAGAAGATGTCAGCTAGCCCTCACCTAAGGCATTCTTCCAAATCATCCACCAGCATTCGTAGCAGTGTCAAAGTCACAGGAACCAGGAAAGACTGAAGAAGTCGGTCTTGGGGAGAGGTGCAGTGTGGCACTGGCAGTAGAACCCTGCACAGAAGGGACATTGGACAGAGACGGGTGATATTCAGATGAGGCTCTTGGTTATAGCCATCCTGACAGGTATGCGGTGACACCCTTATGTGGCTGTGGTATGCGTCCTCCTGATGAGGAGGGATGCTAAGCCCATCTTAGTTACTTTCCTCATTGCTGAGACAAATTATCTGGCACCCAAGTTAAAGGAAGAAAGGTTTATTTTGGCTCTCAGTTCGTACAGGTTTCAGTCTGTAGTCAGCTAGCTCCACGGCAGGTTGGCATAGCAGAGAGACATCACAGAGGAGAAACAGTTCGTGGCAGGTAGAAGACAGCAAGCAGCAAGCAGCAGAAAGCAGCCCTCTTTCCATCCCTTATATTCTATCCAGGCTACACACCCTTAGGGCATGTAGTGCTCACACCCAGGGTGGGTCTTCCCCTTATCCATGCCCAGAATTATGCCAAACCAATCAGTGGACCAATTTAGTAATTGCACACTCTGAATCTCAGTATCACACACTTAAACCCAGCATCACACATTCTAGATCCAACCTCCTCTGAAAAACCCCACCTATGATTGCATGAGTCTTTGGGAGAACATCTAGACATAAGCCATAAGCCCCTTTGGTTTTTTTGGTTTTTTGGGGGTCTTTTTTTTTTGGTTGTTGTTTTTTTTTTTTTTTTTTTGGTTTTTTTTGACACAGGGTCTCACTATGTAGTTGAGTCTGACCTGGAACTCACTATGTAGCCCAGGCTGGTCTCGAACTCCCAGCAATTCTCCTGCCTCAGTCTCCCGAGTGCTGGGATTATAGGTGTGCGCCACCATGCCTGGCTCCCTTTGGATTTTTAATTGGATTTTTGCTATTTGTTTTTAAGAATTCACTGTATATCATTAGCATTGACTGTTACCAGATACATTGTTTGTATACATTCTCTCCTATTCTGGAGTTACCTTTTACCCTCTGTTGGGTATTTTCTTTGCTGTGAAGAAGCTGGTTAGCTAGAGTCCCAACTGTGTCACTTTGCTTTTATTGCCACTGCTTTTCATGTCAAATCCAAGAA